AGGGGGAGAGAGAGAGAGAGAGAATTTAATAAGTGGTGCCTATTTAATAAGTGGTGCTGGGAAAACTGGTTAATCATATGCAGAAAACTGAAACTATTCCTTCCTTACACCTTATACAAAAATTAACTCAAAAGAAAAGAAATCTAGAAGAAATGGATAAATTCCTGGACACATACACCCTTCCAAGACTAAACCAGGAAGAAGTTGAATCCCTGAATAGACCAATAACAAGTTATAAAATTGAGGCAGTTATTAATAGCCTACCAACCAAAAAAAGTCCAGGACCAGAAGGATTCACAGATGAATTCTTCCAGAGGTACAAAGAGGAGGTGGTACCATTCCTTCTGAAGCTATTCCAAACAATAGAAAAAGAGAGGCTACTCCCTAACTCATTTTGTGAGGCCAGCATCACCCTGATATTCAAAACCTGGCAGACACAACAACAACAAAAAACTTTCAGCCTAATATTCCTAATGAACACTGATGCAAAAATCCTCAATAAAATGCTGACAAACCAAATCCGGCAGCACATCAAAAAGCTTTTCCACTATAATCAAGTTGGCTTTCTCCCTGGGATACAAGGGTGGTTCAACATATGCAAATCAATAAACATAATCCATCACATAAACAGAACCAATGAAAAAAAACCACATGATTATCTCAATAGATGCAGAAAAGGCCTTCAACAAAATTCCCCATCCCTTCATACTAAAAACTCTCAATAAACTAGGTATTGATGGAACGTATCTCAAAATAATAAGAGCTATTTATGACAAACCCACAGCCAATATCATACTGAATTGGCAGAAGCTGCAAGTATTCCCTTTGAAAACCAGCACAAGACAAGGATGCCCTCTCTTACCACTCCTATTCAACATAGTATTGAAAGTTCTGGCCAGGGCAATCAGGCAAGAAAAAGAAATAAAAAGTATTCAAATAGGAAGTGAGGAAGTCAAATTTTCTCTGTTTACAGATGACATGATTGTATATTTAGAAAACCCCATCATCTCAGCCTAAAAACTCCTTAAGCTGATAAGCAACTTCAGGAAAGTCTCAGGATACAAAATCAATGTCCAAAAATCACAAGCATTCGTATACACCAATAACAGACTAACAGAGCAAAATTTAGGAATACAACTTACAAGGAATGTGAAGGACCTCTTCAAGGAGAACTACAAACCACTGAAGAGGACACAAACAGATGTAAAAAAATTCCATGCTCATGGATAGGAAGAATCAATATCATGAGCACAGCCATACTGTCCAAAGTCATTTATAGATTTAATGCTATTCCCATCAAGCTATTATTGACTTTCTTCACAGAACTAGAAAAAACTACTTTAAACTTCATATGGAACCAAAAGAGAGCCCGTATAGCCAAGACAATCCCAAGCAAAAAGAACAAAGCTGGAGGCATCATGCTATCTGACTTCAAACTATGCTACAAGGCTACAGTAACCAAAACAGCATTGTACTGGTACCAAAACAGATATGTGGACCAATGGAACAGAACAGAGGTTTCAGAAATAACACCACACATATACAACCATTGGATCTTCGACAAACCTGACAAAAACAAGTAATTGGAAAAGGATTCCCTATTTAATAAGTGGTGCTGGGAAAACTGGCTAACCAGTTTTGCAGAAAACTGAAACTGTACCCCTTCCTTATACCTTATACAAAAATTAACTCAATATGGATTACAGACTTTAATGTAAAGCCTAAAACCATAAAAACTTTAGAACAAAATCTAGGCAATACCAGTCAGGACATAAGCATGGGCAAAGACTTCATGACTAAAACACCAAAAGCAACTGCAACAAAAGCCAAAATTGACAAATGTGATCTAGTTAAACTAAAGAGCTTCTGCACAGCGGCAAAAGAATTTATCATCAGAATTAACAGACCACCTACAGAATGGGAGAATATTTTTGCAATCTATCCATCTGACAAAGTCTAATATCCAGAATCTACAAGGAATGTAAACCAATTTACAAAAACAAAACAAACAACCCCATCAAAAAGTGGGCAAAAGATATGAACAGACACTTCTCAAAGGAAGACATTTATGTGACCAAAAAGCATATGAAAAAAAGCTCATCATCACTGTTCATTAGAGAAAGGCAAATCAAAACCACAATGAGATACCATCTCACACCAGTTAGAATGGCTATCATTAGAAAGTCAGGAAACAACAGATGGTGGTGAGGATGTGGAGAAATAGGAACGTTTTTACACTGTTGGTGGGAGTGTAAACTAGTTCAACCATTGTAGAAGACAGTGTAGGTATTCCTCAAGGGTCTAGAACCAGACCATTTGACCCAACAATCCCATTACTGAGTACATACTCAAAGGATTATAAATCATTCTGCTATAAAGATACATGTACATGTATGTTTACTACAACACTATTTACAATAGCAAACACTTGGAACCAACCCACATGCCCATCAATGATAGAATGGATAAAGAAAATGTGGCACATATACACCATGAATACTATGCAGCCATAAAAAACAATGAGTTTATGTCCTTTTCAGGGACATGGATGAAGCTGGAAACCTTCATTCTCAACAAACTATAACAGAAACAGAAAGCCAAACACCGCATGTTCTCACTCATAAGCAGGAGTTGAACAATAAGAACACCTGGACACAGGGAGGGGAACATCACTTACCAGGGCCTGTCGGGGGGAAGGGGAATAAGGGGAGGGACAGTAAGGGGAAGGAGAGCATTCGGACAAATACCTAATGCATGCAGGGCTTAAAACTTAGATGACAGGTTGATGGGTGGAGCAGACCACCATGGCACATGTAAACCCATGTAACAAACCTGCATGTTTTGCACATGTATCCCAGAACTTAAAGTATAATAAACAATTTTTTTAAAGTGTGCAGCACCTCCCCTCTCTCTCTGGCTTCTATTCCAGCCATGTGATGTGTGTGCTTCCTCTCTGCCTTCTGCCATGATTGTAAGTTTCCTGAGGCCTCCCCAGAAGCCAAGCTGATGCCAGCAGATTCAAGCAGACTCCTGTACAGCCTGTGGAATCGTGTGCCAATTAAACCTCTTTTCTTCATAAATTACCCAATCTCAGGTATTTCTTTATAGCAGCATGAGGACAGACCAATACATCTTCTTTACTGCATTTATAAGGGTAGGGAATAAAACAATGAACATGCAAATACTGGAAAGAAAGGAAGTGTTAATAAAGGGTAGAAAAGGAAGCAGAAGTTCTAGATATAATTGTCAGACTTAGGTGTCTCAGGATCTTGGGCTTTGCCTGAGTTTCCACAACTGTAGTGAGTATCAGTGAATAATAGGCAACAAAGCCCAGAGACAGTGAGACATAATCAAGAGCTAACAGGAATGTAGGGGAAAATAAAGACAGAAACCGTTACTTTTCAATAGGAAGAAGATCCCAGAAAGCACCAGTAGGAAAGTGGAAATGTGAGACAGGAAGTGAGAACGGCCAACGCAGTTTGCATTAATAAGCACATTACCACTGTATATGGTGATAAGGATGTTTCCACTGTAGACAGCTGGGTCTCGGTCCTGTGGGGGACTCAGCAATTTGTATGTAGTACATCACAGAGTTGTATCACTTGTTGGACAACTTGATACCTAAGGAAGCTGGAGTATTTATCCATAAGTCCTAAATGACATTGATTGAAATCTGCTTCTAGGACATCAGCTCTGACAACGTCACACTGCTGCATGCACTACCTACACATACTTTTGTAGTCAGATAAACCCTCTAACGGAGAGTTATAAGTGGCTGAAGTAAGACATCATATACATGCATAGAAACAGCAAATGTCAAGGAGATATTGAAGAGGCTCTGAAAGCATCTTTATGAAAGGTACATGTCAGGTATCAAAGACTTATTCAAAGCTAATCTACATGGCTTGGGATAGGATGAGGCTAGGCACCTCACTCTTAAGAAAACATTCGCTCCCAGGGTCATCTACCTACAGGACCTGCACTTGGGTGACCCTGAGAGTGAGTGCCTCCTTAAGCTGTGTGCCCTAGATGCCCTGCCTGCCTCACAATAGCCCCAGCCCTGCTGGCCTACTGCAAAAATGACAGGCTCCCTGTTTCAGCAATGATGAATTCAAACAGTGGGCATGCCAGGCATCCAGGAGACTCTGTGCCCCCAAAAAGGTGGGAAACAGTAAAAGTTGGGTCTCTTCTCTACCAGAAAAAAGTGGGCTGACATGAAAGAGGTTAAAAAGCAGCTCCTATCCAGTAGGGCAAGACTCAGGTTATTGTCTTCCCTATATAGTAAACTCCAGAAAGCCAACTCCAAAAAGTTTAAGTGAGTTAGGTGAGGACCTATAGCTGGTTAATGATCTAACCGGATATGCGGCCTGTTCCTCTGTCACCTTCTCACTGCCCAATGATTCGCTTTTTTGCTGACCTCATGATGATCTTGAGAGAAGACAGAATAACTAGAACTGGTGATACCAACATAGATGACTAGACTAAGCCTCCTAATAAGGCTAATTTGAAGATAGTGCAAAGGTGTTCATTCTCAACATGCCAGCTCACCTTCAGGTCCTTCAATAGCTGGGAAAGCCCTCCTTTCTCAGAGGATGATGAGACTTTACCTCCAGATTTTTCAGGCAGGTTGGATCTAGGGCTGGCACTGGCCACATGAATGTCTAATTAATGAAGAGATGGTGAGAATAGCTATCATGTTATTTGCTCTGGGGCAAGAGGCTTTCTGGACCTATTTTATAAGGGGAACATCCCTAAAGGGCAAAAGGTAACTGAAGATTAGCTCAGTAATCAATTCCAGAGGTACAGTCAGGCCTCAGAGACTACAATCCCTCCCTTCTTGGGCCATGGCAAGATATTTGATATATCATGAGGCCCTGCTGGAGACACATCTCAGGCACAGCAGAAGGTAGAGTCAGTAGGAGAAATATTGCCAGCCCACAGCTCAATAGGAAATGTTTCTGTCTCTTTAAGTTGTCACCATGGGGCGCACCCTGAGTTTCCTGATTTCTGAAGTCTGAGTGACTTCCTCTGTGTGCCGAGAGGAAAGAGGCTTCTGCACTCACAGCCGAAGGGAAAGCAGCAGGTTGGGGCATCTTGTGGCCAACTTCAGAGCCTGTCACCAGGAAAGGTGAGCGGTGAGTCTGAGCCTGGGAGCTGGCGGGAGCTGGGGATGCTCTGAAAACCAGAAAGAATGTGATTCCTAGAGTGTTTACTGCCTGAGCACTTGCATTCCACAAGGCATCATGTGGGAAGCAAGATCTGGATCAATCAAGGTCATGCTTCCAGGTTTTTTAGTTGGCAAAGTTCAGAGGAAATTTTAGTAGCGTCTTCTCCAGCTCTGGAGCACACACGTTCTTGGTGGGGAGTGAAATCTGTCTCCTCGCACATTCCCTTAACAAAGTAAGAGAAGAGTGTGCTGGAAGCACCTCTGGGAATAAAATACAGTTTGAAAGGCATCAGAGCTCAAGCTCCCCATTGAGCAAAGGCAAAAGATATTTCTGTGGCCCCATAAGCCATCTAACCTTGGAGTGAGTTACAATGTGACACGACTGGGTACATCTGAACTCTCTTCTCTCCTCCTCACTGTCCGCAGAAGGGGCCCCTGAGGCGACATCTGAGATGAATTGCTTGGTCTTCAACCCCTTTCCCTGCATGATCCCTTAAACATCTGCTCCCTTAATTCAAGTTTTTCCTGCTCTAGCCATGGGGGCACCTGAAGTTCCTCATCTGTACAATAAAGGGGGTTACAAAAATGACGGATGTCCAAGTTCTGAACTGTGGACATCAGAAACTTGATTTGTGAATCAGAATCTCTGAGGATGGATCCAAGAAATGTACATTTTTAAAGAGCATTCAAGTGACTCTGAGAAACAGCACATTTGAGTGGTAAAGAACTCAATAAACTTTGAGGTCTCTTAAAGTATTAGGAATATAGGATTCCATGAGTGTACATTCCTCAATGATTAAGAGTCATCTGTCACCTCAGAGTTCATCTGGATCTTACTGTATTCTTAAAAAAATTAAAAAATTAAAAATAATAAAAAAAACTATTTAAAGTCATTTCAACCCCTGCTCCAAACTAGGGAAAATTCCAGTAGTCTATCTAGAGTTCTGCAGGTTCCCTGCAGTACACTTTCTCATTTTCTTAGTTAACAAGGACTTTTTGCTTCATCTAAATTCTTATTCTTTGCTCTGAATCTCACAGCTGCTTCTTCATTTCTGCTCTGATGTCAATTATGATCCTCTGTTTGTTCCTACGTGCAAAATAATTAATCACATAAGGCCCATGGAGTGAACTTTATTGAAGGCTTTGAGGAGGGCCAGCGGACGTCCTGCAGAAACAGAAACAGCTCTAGCTTTAAGACGAGGAAAACCTGTTCTCCAAGTCTTTCAATCAAAGACAAGTTACTCAGCCAGCCTCTCTCTCTGCCCTTCCTTCATGTGTGGTGCCAATGGGAGAGAATGGGTACTCAAGTGTCCAGGGTGCAAGACACAAAGAGGTGGAGTTTGACATGGATGGTAAGGCACAGATAGGTCGGGAGGAGTACTAGTTCTAGGAGCGCAAGCAGAGTGGGTTGGAAAGGCCCTGGAATCTGCTATTTGTGAAGTAGCTGACTGAGTGGGGGATTGCCTGGGAATGAGGCTGGAGACATAGATGTGGGGAGAAACGCATTTGTGTTCAGGAGCTTGTGTGATCAGGCAAACTGGATCACAGCGTGTTTAGCTCTATTACACAATGTTAGATTTCGGCATAATCAGCTTATCTTTTTTTATTTTTTTGCTGGTGCTGTTGTTCTTTATTATTTCTACTATATTTAGGGTTCATTGCATAACAGTTAAATCTAAAGTAAGTATAATGATCAGTAGATTCCTTATATGCCAATAATATATAGTCTGAATTTTTAAAAATCAAATTCAACTTTTTTGTCTTATTCATAAACATATAAAAATATAATCATTACTCATATTATCAGAAAAGCAACCCATAAATTCTATACTAACACATATTTAAAAAAACAAACTAAAAGAAAACATATCTTTCAAAGCCTCAGATTGGAGGGGGAAACAACTTCAGGAGTTGAGGGGTAGTGTTCAAGTCTCTCCAGCACAGAGATCATATTTAGACAGCTCTAGACAAACCAAATTATTTGTTTAAAGAAAACAGAGTCAGGGTCCCTCCAGATCTACTTGGGAGATCTATTCAATTTCCAAAAGAAAAAAATCCCAACTTTCTTCTTGTTTTTTTCTCAGGCCAGCCGCTTGAAGGTGGGTGCCTAAGTCACTGGGTAAATTTTCTGGTTCTGAGGGTTTACCTAATCCTCCCCCAGCTACTGAATCCCTTGATATCTCTAGCTTATGTCAGTGATATAGAATCACCTGGGAAAAATTAACACCTAAAGCTTACCCACTGGCATTGGATAAATGTTATAACCTACACTCTTCTTTTTGCTTTTGGAGTTCCTGAAAAGACAAATCCAAGCTCACCCAATGTTCTCACCACATCATACCAACTCAAGGGCAGAGTGTTGGCCCTTCCAATGCCATTCTCTCAAGTTCCGGTATAATCCTTACTTAAAAAAGGATTAGAACAGTGTATTATATTGACGAAATTTACCTGTCTTCTCTCTAGCCATCTGCCCTTCTGCCAAAACAGACACTTAGACTTTTAGATCCTTGCAAGCAAAAACCATGTCTTTTCACTGTGCTGTCACCAGCTCTTTGGACTTTGCCTGACACAATGTAGGTGGTTATGCCTATTTGAGGAATAAATACATGAATTAACAAATTGTGTTTGGGACTCTTCTAGGTAAGCATGGGAGGAAGGAAGATGGCAAGAGATGAAGAAAATGTCTACGGTAAGACCATATCTCTGGACCTGATACTTGCCTCCCTAGGCTTGAGCTTAGGATAATAATGAGAATGGGGCTTCCTCAAGGCTGAACAGAGATAAGTTCCAAATGTGTCTCAACCCTGGAATGAAATAGCACCAGCCCTGAGATTTGCATTTTAGCTGGATCTCTGTTGTGAGATGTTAAGTTCTTTGACTAACCTGCTCCCTTGATTCCACAGTATAAGATAAGGGTAATAAGCCTACTCCAGTCTCCACTGAAGAAGTGCAGAGCATATCCAATCATGTACTAAAGTGAACATGGTTTCCAAGGTAGAATGTTTAGAGAACAAAGAAAGAGGGTTAAAACAGATATTCTTTTTAGGCAGACTGTTTAAGAGAGAGGGAGGGGAGGAAGGAGGGAAAGAGGAAGAGAAAGAGGGAAGAAGGGAAGAGACCTTATCTCACCCCCTCAACAGGCCTCTGAGAAACAAGGATCTATCATCACTCCCACTTTTGCAGAAGAGGCTTAATACTTAGATTACTTAACTTCTCCAAGGTTACACAACTAGCACATGGTGGGGCTGTGATTCAAACCAGGGAGTCTGGGACTCCAGACAGCTCTTCACTACCAGGCAGTACTGCCCCCACTGCCTTTCTCTGGGGATGGTCTTGGGAGAATATTTCAGAGTCCATCGAAAGTTTTAAATATAAAATAAATATATCTGTATGTGTGTGGATGACCAGAAATGTCAGATGAACGATTGGCCCGGACTGATAAAGGGGCATTTCTATGATAATTAGCTGTCTTTGGAGCACCTACAGATGCAGGCAGACCACCCGAATACAAAAGGAAAAGGTGGAAATGAATCCGGGGGCTAAAGTCTCTCTTTTTTTCTTCTTTTTTTTTTTTTGAGATGGAGTTTCACTCTTGTTGCCCAGGCTGGAGGGCAATGGTGCGATCTCAAATCACCGCAAACTCTGCTTCCCAGGTTCAAGGGATTCTCCTGCCTCAGTCTCCCGAGTAGCTGGGATTACAGGCATGCGCCACCATGGCCGGCTAAGTTTTGTACTTTTAGTACAAACTGGGTTTCTCCATGTTGATCAGGCTGGTCTCGAACTCCCGACCTCAGGTGGTCCACCAGCCTCGGCCTCCCAAAGTGGTTGGATTACAGGCTGACCCACCGCGCCCAGCCTATTCTTAACTTTTTTTTTTTCTAAGTTCCCAAGGGAAAGTTGGTTAGACTTAAGTAAAATTATAACACTTGGTCTCACAGGCTTAGAAGAGGACACCCAGTCCTGGCAGGAGCCCACGCTGAGGCTCATCCTTGTTGGGAGAACAGGGGCCGGGAAAAGCGCCACCGGGAACAGCATCCTGGGCCAGAGACGGCTCCTGTCCAGGCTGGGGGCCACGTCTGTGACCAGGGCCTGCACCACGGCCAGCCGCAGGTGGGACAAGTGGCACGTGGAAGTTGTGGACACTCCGGACATTTTCAGCTCCGAGGTGTCCAGGACAGATCCCTGCTGTGAGGAGAGAGGTCACTGCTACCTGCTCTCGGCCCCCGGGCCCCACGCGCTGCTCCTGGTGACCCAGCTGGGCCGGTTCACCGCCCAGGACCAGCAGGCGGTGAGGCAGGTGAGGGACATGTTCGGGGAGGGCGTCCTGAAGTGGATGGTCATCGTCTTCACCAGGAAGGAGGACCTGGCCGGGGGCTCCCTGCACGATTACGTGCACGGCACAGAGAACCGGGCCCTGCGCGAGCTGGTGGCCCAGTGCGGGGGCCGGGTCTGTGCGTTTGACAACAGGGCCACCGGCCCGGAGCAGGAGGCCCAGGCGGAGCAGCTGCTGGGGCTGGTGGAGGGCCTGGTGCGGGAGCACGAGGGCGCCCACTACTCCAACGAGGTGTACGAGCTGGCGCAGCAGCTGCGCTGGGCGGACCCCGGGGAGCGGCTCCGGAGGGTGGCGGAGCGCGTGGCCGCCCGCGTGCGGAGGAGGCCGTGGAGCGCCTGGCTGCGGGCCGCGCTGGGGGCGTGGTCGAAGCCGTTTTGGAGCTGGAGCCTGTGCCTGGCCCTGCTGCTGGGAGGCGCGCTCCTGCTCTGCGTGCTGCTCCACGGGCGCCATTCGCAGGTCTTGTTGGAAATCAGGCCTGACTGACAGTGCAGGCCCTAAAACTGCAGGCAACTTGGTAAGAGAGCGGTTGAAGGAAAAAATTCATTCCAGCAGAAGGAATCCTGTCGTTTCAGGCACAGTTTTAATGACACAGAAAACTGAACGCTGCATCATCTTTGCAACTTTAACAAGGCTCAGAGTTAACTTTTTATGTTTCTAAGTCTCATTTTAAACATTGCGTATGCAGAGTTTTAAAATAAATTCGTCTAACAATAACTTTCTTTGGTAGTTTTGGTAGTTTAATGTCAAGTAGCTTGTGGTGGGGACAAATCCATGGCACAGGGAAAACAAGTGCCTTTATTTTAGAACTTTTTAAAAAATTCAATTGAGACTGCTCCTCCTTGATAATTTTCTAGTTCTTATTCATTGGTAGATATGGTCCTTTGGGATTCTTGTAGGCTTTCAGCATCAATGAAAGAAATGTGGGGGTTACACATGTTAATTTTACTTCTGAGACATCAGTTTATTAGTACAATGATTTTCTACCAAAATGATAAATGTAACTGTGCTGAAAATAACAGTTTCCACTTTTCTAGAACATATTATGGTTCTTGGCTTTCCAAAATGAAGTAGTGTCCCAGCACAGTGGCTCAGCCTGTAATCCCAACACTTTGGGAGGCTTAGGTAGGCAGATCATCTAAGATCAGGAGTTCAAGACCAGCCTGGCCAACATGATGAAACCCTGTCTCTACTAAAAATACAAATATTAGCCTGTTGTGGTAGCCTTCGCCTGTGATCCCAGCCACTGGGAAGGCTGGGAAGGGAGAATCGTTTGATGCAGTGAGCCGAGATTGTGCCACTGCACTCCAGTCTGGGTGATAGAGTGAGACTTTGTCTCAAAAAAAAAAGAAAGAAAGAAAGAACTAAGATATTATGATATTGGGGAAATAACGTAATATCTTCTATATGGTCATTCATACTTTTATCACACACATGCACAGTCTGTATCTCAAGCTCCTCCCTGGTCATGGAGAAGAGGCAGAGCGCCAGGTGCATAGGCTGAGATTGCAGACACCAGAGCATCCTGTGCTGTGCAGCTAAAGCATCCAGGGCCTGTCCAGGAAGGTTCTTGAATGCCACATGATTAGAAAATGTGACACTGACTGACGCTGACTGGTTGTGCAAACCAAACAATAAGATTTCCTTATTTCTATTTCTGAACATAATGAGAGGCCTTTAAGGGAACTCAATGTCTTTAAATCAGCCAACCTCTAGTAAGGGCATGGAGACACAGGAAGCAGATATTCACCTGAGCCCCAATAAAGGGGTGGAGGAGGAGGCGGCGGCAGCTGGAGTGTGCGCAGGTGCCCTAGAATCCTTCCCAGCACACGTTGGGAAGGAGGGGTCTGCAAGCATGTGCAAGAATGCCAGGTCGGGCTAAAGACCACAGGAGGTTCCAGGTAGGCTGCGGGCTTCGGGCAGGCCATGGTCCGGGGCCCTAAGGGCCTTGGTGACCGCTGCAGGGAGTTGGACTTTTTGAAGCGTGGCTCAAGAAAAACCCATGTTTAATTCCTCCCTTTCACTTCCTCAGCAGCCATACTTGGCCCAAGCAGGGGCCTCGAGCCAGGGAGGGATTCCTTTAATGACCAGAGGGGGCAGCAGGGAGGGCACAGCGTGGTCATCCGAGGCCACTTGCGCACGAGCCAGTGCTGCTGGTGGTGTTAGCAACTTTTATCAAAGTGGTTTACTGTACAGCAGCAGCAAAGGTATTGCTCTTTGTGGAGCAGGGCTCCCCCATAGGCAGTGTGCCCAGAGTAGCAACGCGGAAGCAGTTTTGCAGTCATAGTTATACCCACTCTGAAATACGTGCACATTAGGCAGTGGATTATGCCAACATTTCTAGAAAAAGGGTGGTAGCTTCCAGGTCGTGGGATTGTTGCCATGGAAAGGAGCTGTAACTTCCAGGTGTTACCTTAGCAATGATAACCTGACGTGACACTGGTGAGTGTGTTTTATGGACAGACTCTTTCACCTCCTCCCTTTCAAGCTAGTCTTCAATGTGTCTGGAGCCCAATCCCCACCACTAGAGTCGAGTCCTGCCTCCTACCTCAGTGATATAAATATAAAGTAGCATGTGGTTAATTTGTCAAATACATTTGTAAAGTGCAATCAGAGATGTATTGTCAATCTGAATCTCAAAATATGCTATCATCTTTGAATTTGAATAATATATTATTCTAAAAGTTACAGTTTTCCTTTACATTCAATAACATTTCTCTAGTGGTTTTCTTTTTCAGAAACTTTGATTATGATCTTTTTTTTTTCACCTTTGTATCCCTGTCATACAACCCAGTGCCTGGCATATAAAGTAGGGTCAATAATTGTTTGGAAAATGAATGGTAAAGTTGACTTTCCTGTACCCTTTTAATATTAGGTTTCTAACTATAAGAGTTTTTACCATTTTCTAAGTTTTCTATCATAGATAACAAAAAATTCTTTCATGTAAGCACGCCATTGTATCAATGATATTCTCCTGCCCTAAGGAAATTTTCTTCCTTTCAAGCACAGAGTTCCCAAAATTACTGTATTTCTACCCCTTTCAGCTTATTTTATCCTTTTCTGCTGCTACAGAACAGCTGGCATTCACCATTTCATCCAGTAAAGTCGTTTTTTAGGCTATGGTTTGAAGGATGCTTTTCCTCCATAGCTCAGGGTTAGGCCTTGTGACCTCACTTATGTAATTTGAGTGATATGATAGCACGAATCAATTTTATATTTAAATTACAGCATAAAACAGCACTGCCTCCTGTAGGAAAAACTTTCTTGCTAATTTTAACCAGTCACAGGGTAAAAATATTGCCCAATACTTCAAAAATTGCATGAATATATATTCATTTCAATTATGTCCTCCTTCCTCTCGTCTCCTTTTATCTCTTTGAGTATAAAAAATGTATGGGTCATGTGCTGATGATGTTTCTCTTCATATTTCCATGCCTTGGTGCCTGGACCAGCTTTTGTTCTACACAAAAAGACTTGTATCTGGCTTATTTCTGAAAGCTAGTGTTGGCCATGATGAACTTTTAGAACAAAAGATTTCAGGCACTGTGTACATTCTTATTCTTACACAATCAATATTCAGTTCCAGCCACACCATAGCCCTGACAGACACCAGTGCTCCTTCCAGAGATTCACCTATGGATTGAGTATCCCCGAAGAGAATTCCTGTAAATTTTGGGTGAAGCTATAGCTAGACTATGGCTAAACACTCATTTATCCCCTGTGATTTTTAATCTAACAGTGGCAACGTTGGCCTATTCTTAGGCAACTAGATTTGTTCTTGCTACCAATAAAATATTTTATTGAGATGCCTCTAAATTTGTCCCCAGCCTCTTTATTTATTTAGGAAGTTATCACTCCATATACTGGATATTTTGTTATAATTATTGGTTTGAGTCTTATTTTTATATTTTCAATCACGTTCTTTGCCTAATTCTTCTCATATTTTCATATTTTCTTTCCCTCCTCATAATCCTCTTTACATATCACTGTTTAGGCACTTAGACTTTTTTTACTTTCAAATGGTGTTATATTGTGCATATACTCTTGATTTCATACACCTGAAGATTCCTAGACTATTTTTTCTGCTACATGTTGGCATGATGTGTCATGGTGAACACTGAAGAGAACTGCGTACCACTCCTCAAAAATTACACACACACACTTGTATGCATGCAAACACAGACACAAACACACTCACATCTCAATCCCAAGAAATAAATAGATATCTCAATCCCAAGAAACACAAGGAACGAAAGACTTTCGGACTTCCAGTTCTGCAGAATTTCTTAGAAGGATCAACTCCAAGTTTTAAGCCCAAATTCCCAGAATTTGTCTCCAGTAGGCAGAGAAGGCCTTCTTCCTGAAAAGTCACAGATTCTTTCTTGTGTTAAAGGATAATTCTCTGTAGAGAATTCTCTGTAGATCCCTCTGTAATATTCTCTGTAGATCCCTCTGTGACAGCTTGCACATGAAGACCTAGATCAGAATTATCTCTGATGCTCAAAGAGTTAGGGTTACTCAGAATCAATGAGATCAACGGAGCATAGATCATATGGTAATCGTGGTTAGATAGTTAGTACAATACTCCCATAGAGAATAATGTCAAAACTAGAGATAAAATTAATAGTAAGCTTCAAAAACCTAACAAGAGTGAGGAATTTCTATAACAAATCTAAGAAAAGTGAAAACCCAGAAAGCTAAGCCTGGTAAGGAGCCACTTTTGCCCTTAGAGTATTTACAGATCAAGTAGAAACAGCTTAAAAATGGAGCCACACCCTGGGGTTTGGTAATTTAATAGGATAATCAGGGTAAAAATAAAATCCACAATCAATCCAAAGTGAAGACTCTCATCCTCATCCTACTTTTAGAAAGGATCCCGCCTGTAATCTCAGCACTTTGGGAGGCTGAGGCAGGCAGGTCACCTAAAGTCAGGAGTTTGACATCAGGTGGGCCAACCTAAAGAGACCCTGTGTCAACTAAAAATACAAAACATTAGCCGGGCATGGTGGTGCGTGCCTGTAATCCTGGCTACTCGGGAGGCTGAGGCAGGAGAATTGCTTGAACCCAGGAGGCAGAGGTTGCAGTGAGGCAAGATTGTGCCACTGCACTCTAGCCTGGGCAACAGAGTAAGACTGTCTGAAAAAAACAAAAAATCCCAAAGTGTTAAATTATCAAATGTAAATCATCTCCTTCCTGTAGACTTGCAGTGTGAGTGTCCTGAGACTTTATTAAAGTGATCTTTCTCCAAAAGTGTCTCAAGATTTGGCATTAAAAAGGAATTCTACCTGGAATTTGACACTAACATTTTGGGCCTTCAATTTTCCTTTGAACACTTCTTTGTAAATGCATATCTAACACTCAGAGAAAACCAACCACCTAAAGAAACATGATGCAATGAGAAAACCAAACAAAAAGTAACAGAAACAAATAAGCAAGGACTTGAGATACTATAATAATCAGATATAGGTATAAAGTAAGTATACTTATTTTACTTATGGTCTGAGGGCTACCTGTCCCTCTACCTGCTTCTGCCTCCGTTAAATTTTTTGTACGTCTAATCCAGTTTTGGTGTTTCCTCCATCACAAACCTGAACTTATATATAACTGAAATTAACAACTCAGTAGACAGATTTAACGGATTAGACAGTGCTGAAGAGAGAGCCAGGATAGAAGAAAATCCAGAATGCAGCTCAGAGATACCAAATAGATAGGCAATGTGGAGAGAGGGTAAGAAATATAGAGAAAAGAATGAGAAGTTTTAATATATTAATCATTCTGAAAGAATAGAAAAACATAGGTTCACAGAGACAAGACAAAAAAAAAAAGGGATAGAAAAACAGGAGTTAAGACAATATCTGAAAACATGAGAAATTTCCAGAACAGATAAAATATATCAGTCTGCTAATTCAATTAAGCTAATGAATTAACTTAAAGCAGAAAAAAGGGATATTATATTTAAAGGAGTAAAAATTGGACTGTCAAATGACTTCTAAAAAGAGGCAAAAAAAAAAACCTCTGTGTTCTGTACAAGACTTTTTTTATAAATATACAAGGAACACCCTGAATTCTGTGATAGTTTCATGTGTCAGCTTGATTGAACTAAGGGATGCCTAGATGGCTAGTAAGATATTATTTCTGTGTGTGCTTGTGAGAGTGTCTCCAGAAGCGATTAGAATTTGACTCTGCAGATTCAAAAGAGTAGAGTTCTGCCATCACCCGTATGGGCAGATATCATCTAGTCTGCTGAAGTTCCAAAAAGAACAAAAAGGCAGTGAAGGGAAAATTCACTCTCTCTTCTTGAGCTGGGACATCCGTCTTCTTTTCCCTTCAAACCTTTGAGCTCCTGGTTCACAAACCTTTGGACTATTGAACTTACACCAGCAACCTCCCACACACACATCTGGCTCTTGGACCTTTGGCCTCAAACTGGGAGAGTTACATCATCAGCTACCCTAGTTCTCAGGCCTTCAAACTCAGATTGGATTATGCCATCAGCTTTCCTAGTTTTCCAGCTTGCAGACAGCATATTATGGGGCTTCTCAGCCTCCATAATCATGTCAACCAATTACATTACACACACACACACACACACACACACACACACACACACACACACACACAATGGGTTCTATATTTTTGGAGAATCCTCACGAATACAGGTGCCATTAGGAAGAAGGTCAGTATTACTGAGAGAGCCCAGCGCCCAAGGCCCAGGCACATAGGCCATGCCTAAGACTGAAGCTGTGTAAGAACAGCAAAGAACACTGCCCTGCCCTTGCCATACACCTAAAAAATACTGAGTGATTAATAAGCAATCCAGTCTACTATAGGGAAAGGTCAAAGCCTGGAACAACCCCCTATGAAATGGAGTTATGCAGAGATGACTGAAATCTGAGGGTGACTGGAACAGGAACACCAAGTAAAGCCCTATGGCATTTCAGTCCCAACTTAAGCATCAGGCAACATTAAACAAATTAAAAACCTAAGATGCACTGAAGGTAACTATAGCAACAACCCCAACCCAGTTCAACTCTTTATTAGATTGACTCAGCTGAACACTAAGAGCCTGACAGAAGAAGAGGCATAACCATTCTAGGCATAAATACTATTTATCTCAATTTAATTTCCTACTATGCATATTTACAATTTAATAAAATTATAATATATTCAGAAAAGCAAAAGTACAATAATCCACTATGAAAAGACAAAAACAATCCACAGAACCAGACTCAGAAATTGTCCAGAAGTGGGACAGGGTCTCTAAAATAATTATGATTACTATGCTAAATGATGAAGTGAAAAATGTAGACAACATGTAACAAAATACTAGGCATTTCAACAGAGAGACAGAAACTATAAGAGTCAAATGTAACTTAAAAATTAAAAACATTCTATTAGAAATAAAGTATTCCGTAGGGGTTACATCAGTAGACTTGACATCGTTGAGGAAGGAATCAGTGAATTGGAAAATAAGTTAATAGAAATTGTTCAAACTGAGTAAAGGGAGAAAAACAAATGAGGGAAAAAATATCTAGGAGCTATGAAATTATATAAAGCAGTTTAACATACATGTCAAAAAGAGAGAATGAACAGAAGAAATATTTGAAAAGGTAGTAGTTAAGACTTTTCAAAAAATAATGAAAGACACCTAACTACATATCCAAGAAACAGAGTGCTCCAACCAGGGTAAACACATAACAAAGCAAAATAGAAAAGCTAGACATTTTATACTTAAACTGTTGAGAACCAATGATAAAGAGGAAGTCTTAAATGTAACTAGGGGGAAAAAACATTATATTAGAAAAATAAATATTAGAATCACAGCTGATTTTTTGTCAAAAACTACAATTCAGGACACAATTGAATAGCATCTTTATAATACTAAAATTTTTTTTAAAAAACTATTAACCCAGAAATGTATAGCCAGCAAAAATCTTTCAAATATGATGGTAAATAAAAATGTTAGTTGTTAGTTAGAAATAAAGACTCTGACTAACAAAAGCTAAAACAATTAATTATCAGCTTATCTTCACTACAAGAAATGTTACAAGAAGTTTTTCAGGCAGAAGGAATAAATATGACACCAGATAGAAATTTGAATCTACACAGAGAAATGAAAAACCCTAGAAATGGAAAAAATAAATACAAATATAAAAGGAATTTTACATTTTTTAGCTCTAACAAAAAAGTAATAGTGTATTAGGGAAGTTATAAAATATGTAAAAGTTTACAACAATCATAACACGAAAAGGAAGGATGAATTGCAAGTACACTATCATAACTCTTAAAATACATGTGAAGTGGCCTGAAATTTTTATAGACTGTAATAAACGGTCTAAAATCCACGTAGATTTGTTAAAACCACAAGATTCAGCCATATGCTATCTACAAGAAATGCACTTTAAATATAATGACTGAATTGGTTATCTATTGCTGCGTAACAAATTACCACAAATGTGACAACTTACTACAACGTGCAATTATTATCTCACAGTTTCTGTGGATCAAGGGTTTATATTGTTGGGATATTTGGCCCCTCATTTCTCATGTTGAAATGTAATTCATGGTGTTAGAGGCAGGACCTGGTGAGAGGTGTTTGGGTAACGGGAGTGGATCCTTCATAGATGGGTTGCTGCTGTCCTCATTGCAGTGAGTGAGATCTGGTCATATGGAAGTGTGTAGCACCTCCCCAACCTGTTGCTCTTACTCTCTTCCAGTGACATGCAGGCTCCCCTTTGTCTTCCACCATGATTGAAAGCTTTCTGTGTCCCTCAACAGAAGCGGATACCAGCAATGTGCTTCCTGCACAGTCTGCAAATTGTCAGTCTTATGTATTTCTTTATAGCAATGCAAAAACAGCCTGCACAGGAGTCCAGGCATGGCTTAGGTGGACCCTCTAGTCAGCAATTTATGAAGCTGAAACAGAAGTGTCACCCATGCTGCTATTTGGAGCTCAGGGTCCTTTTTTCAACTTCATTCAGGTTATTGGCAGAATTCAGTTGTTTGTGGTTGAAAGACTGTGGTGTGGATAACTCTTAGAGGCGGATCCTCTCCATAGGCAGTTTAAAGCATGAATGCTTGCTTTCTTAAAAGCTGGAAATATCTCTTGCTTTTAAGGCTTCTTTTAATTAGGTGAGACCTAATTAAAAGACCCAGAACAATCTCCCCTTTAATGCAAAACTAGCTGATTAGGAACCTTAATTAAATTTGCAAAAATCCCTTTACTTACCATGTAAACCAATCACAGGAATGGCATTCATTCTACTCACAGGTCTTCCCACACAAAAGGGGAAGAGATTATCCAGGACATGTACACTAGTTGATGGGAATCTTGGAGCCCACCGTAGAATTCTGCCTGTCACAGTCATAGAGATGTGTTGAAAGTAAAAGAATGGGGAAATAAAAATCATGAAAACACTCATCAAAAGGAAGCTGGAGTAGCTACGTTAATATAATACAGATCTGTAGTCTACAGAGCAAGGAATATTGTCAAGGATAAAAATGGGCATTACATAATGATAAATGTGTTAAATTATCAGGAAGACATAACAATCCTTAGAATGTTTGCACCTAAAAACAAAGTTCCAAAATACGTGAAGCAAAACTAAAGAAACCAAAAAGATAAATAGACATATCCAAAATTATACTTGGGTACTTTAAACCTTCTTTCTCAGTAATCAATAAAACATGTAGACAGAAAATCTGTAAGAATACAGAAGGTATAAGACTGAATGCATTCCCTTAAGTTCAGGAAAAGGCCAGGATGTCCCTCATTGCCATTCCAATTTAATGTTGTGGTAGAGATCCTGCTGGTGAAAGGAGGCAAGAAAAAGAAATTAAAAGCACACAGATTGGAAAAAAAACATAATAAAAATGTTTTTATTTGCAGATGACATAATTTTCTAAGAAGAAAATCTCAAAGAATCAAGAAAAAATATTCTAGAACTAATAAATTAGCAAGATCAGAAAATACAAGGTCAACATACAAAAATCAGTTATATTCTTACATACTTGTAATAAATGGCTGGAAACTGATATTAAATCAATACCATTCATAGTATCATTAAATTATAAAATATTGGAATTAATCTAAGGTTTTTACACTGAAAACTACAAAACATTGATGAGAAAAATCAAGTAAGACCTAATAACTGGAACAATATTATACCATGTCCATTAATCAGAAGATTCAATATTATTCAGATGTCCGTTATTTCTAAATGAATCTACAGAGCCATGCAATCACAATCAAAATTTGGAAGGATTTTCTTATATATTTTTCAAACTGATTCTAGAATTTATATTTAAAAACCAAAACCATTTTGAAAAAGATAATTCCTACTTCCTGATCACAAGATTTACATATAGCTGCCATCATCATAACAGTGAGGTATTGGTGAAGATTAGACATAAAGATCAATGGAACAGAATACAGTTTAGAAATAGACATATATATATGATCAATTAATTTTTGAATGTATACCAGAGTAATAAAAAAAAGGATAGTTCCTCCAAGATAGGTTAATGGAATGAAAATTTGGACATATATTTCTAAAAAAAAAAAAATCTTGATTTATATCTCACACCATATGCCAAAATTAACTAATGTGATCTTCTGAAAACCATTTCTCTACTCTGACTGCAGTCTCCTTATCTGTAATATGGGGGAGAAAAGAACTAGTTTGGATGATCTCCAGAATTGTTCTAGCTTTCACCTTCTGTGCCTGTACCTTTTTCCTTTCACTTCCACAAAACTCAGTTATTCACTGGGTTAAACACAAATGGCAGACATGTGCATGCAAATCTCCATGAGGCTTATGGCCAGCACAGGCTGTGGTTTTCATAGAAAAGCCACAGGAGGTCACAGGAGGTATGACTGCTTATGTTGTCACTGAACTCTTTCTAACACCTCTTGTGCAAATCAACTCCCTTCACCCTTTCAGCAGAGAAATTAGCTTTGTCTCCACTTTTTACCATTGCTCTTGCTGTGTTTTCCCTTCTCTGAAAAAGCAAATAGATAGCCACTGTGATCCTGGCTCAGGTTCCCAGGACACAGGAGCATCCCCAGGCCAGGAACCTCATGTCCTGGGTCTAGGAGGACTTGGCCTTGACAGAGACCATGAGGCAGCTGGGGAGCACTGCCTGGGGCAGAATCTGACAGAATCTCCTGATTGTATGTAAGGTCTGATAGCTTCAGAAGGGTAGGAACCAGAGATCTTGGGGTGGGATATGTTAAAAGACAATGTGCACCCGAAGAACCCTTGGGCATTCCTACAGCTGTGCCTGTTGGTAACTCTGATACCCCAGGCTGTCAAATGCCAATAGTAATTTCAGACAGAAGGAAAACAAGACCCAGACAGCACAACTTGGTATATTATACTCTTTTCATCAAAAGTAGAGTTTCCCAACTTTTTCATGTCAATGTCCACATGGTAACATTTGTCACAGCATAGTGTGTAAACACAAGAAACTGCCCCCAACCTCAGAAGCAACTGATCTCAGGCCTTAAGTCATCTTGGGGTTTGGGGGGGCCCTTATCTTCCCTCTGAGGCTGAGGGGGAAAATATCTCAACAAACCTATAATTGATTGACAGCTCAAGGGCTGAGAAATTCCAATGTAATGACTCAAAAGAAAATCAGCCTGGTAAGAGTACACCTCACAAGCTCAGAAACATTATTTGTGACAGGAAGGTATCAGCTGTGGATGCCAAGGCGCTCACCAGGAGACATTCGGTTGCAGGTGATAATGTCAGGGTAGGGAAGGGTCTCATTAGGCTTTCAGGAAGGCCCACCCCACTCCAGATGCAACAGGAGCAATCCTCCATGGTGCCAGCTGGGAAATCTCCAGGGATCTTGTCATCCCTGGTGGGCCTCATCTAACCCATCCAATAAACAACTAGAGGAGAACATCAAGGCATGGATTCAGTCCCTGCTGCTCCCTCTTGGCCTTTTGGGTTAACTAAATAGGTGAAGGTTCTACTCTAAATGCAATACTATGGAATTAGACAACTAGACATCGGCTAACCTGACAACTCTAGAGGTCACAATAACAAGCTTTTACAACTGCTCTAGGGGCTGTCCTGCCCTGACATCTACATACTCTCTGCTTCCTTTAAAATCACCGCTTCAAAGGGCCCCTTCCCCGCCTCCTGTCAACCCTGATCACATGTCCAAGTTCCACTCCACACTTCAGGGCTTTCTTCCTGGGGCTGGTCCATGTTGACCTCTTTTCTTCCCAAAATCCTGTTTAATACATTGTCTAAAACTATGCTTTCATGTACTTTTTACCATTTCCCTCAGTTTCATACTGCTTCCCAGAACTTACATACAATCATATTTTATGTGATTAATTTTGATAGTTTCTATTCTGCTCTATTTCATTTTTGAATGCTCTATAATGGGGTGTATGAACTATACTTGTCCAAAACATTTATTTGGGATTCTTACTCATTGTCTTTCATGTGCATAAGTCTTGTCTCTCTAATAAGATTTTAGGTTCCTTAAGAGGGTGGCTTTTTGTCTGCTTTCTATGGGTGCTGTCTGGACTTATCACTCATTAGGTGTGGTGTGGTGCACAGGCTCAGGAGAACTGGGTAAATTTGCTTTGCAAGATGCAATATTTAGAAACTTGGAGTGTGCTTTCTGGCATCATTAATCTTTCCTTGATGTTGTGTGTTAACTGTGGGCTCAAATAGCTGCCCTCGTATTGACCTGAATGTTTCTGAATCCTCAACTCTACCTCCTAGATTCACCCCTGGATGATCTCTGACCCACTATGAAGCCTCTTCCGCAGGTGTGGTCTCTGCACTGCAGCCTGATCCAGGAGGCTCCTTTGTTCACCTCCAATGAGAGGGGCCCTGACCTGGCCCCTCTCAGCCCTGAAAAGAGAAACCATGACCTTCTCTGAACACAGAGGAAATAATAATGTTGATAATATAGAAATGCCTGCATTTTAATGCTTTTTTCAGGATCTTTTACCTGCTTTTCGATTTTCATAAGAACACAAAGTTCTAAAAAAGTTCCAAGAAAGCACTATTTTTAGAGTGACTACAGACAAGGAAGAAAAATCACACTTCAGCATTTAGCACCCCCCACCCTCCTGCTCTCTGACCTGCGGTTTCATTTCCACATTTTCCACTAGTCATGTTCATGGGAGACCTTCATGGAATAGGATGAAATGATGAATGAAGAGACAGAGGCCAGATGGAGAAGGAGAGCAAGCATGACTAAGTGTTAGGAGACCATGTGGTGGCCAACAGGCTCGGTTTGACTGGGACTAGGGGTTTCCCGGGACTAAGGGGTTTCCCAGGACGGGAACCTTGTAGTGCTAAATCCAGTCAAATTCAGAGCAAGTTGAATGGTTGGTCATCTAGGAGCTTAGCCCAGTGGCTCAGGAGAAAGTGGTAAATGTCACGCCTCCTCTTTCCCTCACTCTTCTTCCTCCTTCATCAGAAGGCAATAATTGTCTATCTCCCATGCCAAACAGAAGGTTCAAGGCATGGACCCAGTCCTTGAATCACTCCAAGTTGGTAGGGAAGGTGACTGCCAAAAATGTCTTGAAAATGGAGCTTTGGTATCTCCACAGCTTAAAAAAGCTGATTCTCAGAGCAGCCTGCAGGTATCGACCCTGAGGTGGCTACTGTGCTCAGATCTCCAGAACCTTCATCACATAACTACCGCACATGAGTTGCAACTCAGTTTGTTCAGTTCTGTGCACCAGGAAGCATCACAGAGAGAGAACAGGGAGAGCAGAGGGGTCTGGGGATGGATAGAGACCTGCTTTCAGCAGTGATTCATTCTATTTTGTAGTATGTCATATTTGGTAGAGAACTCTCTCTGTCCAGGCTGAAAAGGGATTGAATTTGGTGTCAAACAGAAGGATAGGGAAAATGGCCACTTCCACACTTCAATTGAGAAGTGTCCCAGGTTTCCTGTTTTTGTTTTGATTTTCTTTTTTTCAAATCTGAACAGAGGAATAAAGAGGGTGAGGAAAAGGCACAAGGAGTCTAGTTTTGGAAATACTTTTATATCTGGATATATACTAATTTCTACAATCCTAGGTTCTGAAAGTAACTACCTAAGATTATCCTTCTAGCACTAAATGTAACTACAAAAGGGGACGTGAGGGAGAGTTGGAGCGTTTAAGTTGTATGTTTTACGTATTTACTCAGTAAGTATTTTTGAGCACTTTCTAGGGCTAAGTTCTGGCAAAAGCCCTGACCTAAAGACAGTGCCTGACCTCTGAGAAGTCCAAGATCTTATCCAGAAGTCTGATAGGGACCAGTTAACACATTTCATCTTTGGTTCCCTGGGGTCTCTTTGAGCCATAAGAAGACCCCAGGAACAGCTAGCGAAGAAAAGATAAAATTTAGAGAACAGGAGAACTCAAAGCACAAAATCAGCCCTTACTGAGGTGCCAGAGCACCCAGCCAAGTGGATAAATACATTTGTGAATAGCTCAAACCAAAGGAAAGAGAAGGAGTTTGAAGATGTTGCTAGAATGAAGTGAAAGTAGCACAGTTTGCTACATTGATAAGAATGGTTAGCATCAGTGCCCCTCACTGTTTATGAGATTTTGATGTGAACTCTGTCCGTCAAGTTTTTAAGAGATTGCAGCCAGGTGCTGGGGGAGTACCTGGTCTCTAACTAATAAGGGTGAAATCCTGATCAGACTACAGCCCGCTTCCTGCCCTGCTCTGCTCAATTTACACAAGTTATGATTGCCTACTAGGTTGAAAGTCCTTGAGGAATTTAAAAGAGTAAGGGCCAATAAAATATCAAAGGCCAATAAAATAAAATAAGGAAAAAACATCAATTTTCTTTCCTGGGGAAAAAAAAAAATAGTGGAAAAGAATTACCCCTCCCTTCTTATGGCATTTTCTTTAGAAAGCTTGTGAGTGTGAATTATTTCTCTGCCCTTTGTAATGCAAATCTTTTTAAAAAGCTGTTTGACAGCCCATGGCTGTCTTTATGTCTTTAGAGTACCTGGGAGCCATCCCTTTGAAGTGTAAACATCAAGGAAGATCGGGTCCCCACCTTCCAGTCTCTGTGGGAAAGCAGGAGCCTAACTTAGATAGGAGCCTCACTTGTGCCAGAACCTTTCTGAGTTGCAAATCTTCTCCTTTCCATGGAAGATATGAGAAGTTTACTTTTCCTCTAGAAAAAGACAGTTAGCTAACACATATAGTTACTGAATGAACTTAGGATGAACTATGTGTGACAAGGGGTGCTGTCAAGTCCTCTTACTTGAGGATTAGTTATGGTTTAGCTTGAGAACATGTGTGTAAAGGGTGGCATCTGCCTGGCTATATGACCAGGTGGCAACCCTCTCCGTCTTTGCAATCTCTTCCTAGATTGTCTAGTGGGATCTAGATCACATTCTGGTTCAAGGCTCATTGAATAATAAAATTGCTTTCTTTCTTTTCTGCCTTTGTGGAGAGGTTTTCTGGGCTGGCAGGAGACTGTTTAAAATTGTTTTACCCATCACATCTTAGACAATTGTTACAATATGACTCTAAGCCCCACTGCAAATGTCAACAGATGTGGGGATTCTCTGGGCGGTGACAGCCCTCCACCTAAGTCCACATTATGTTCTCCATCTCATAATTGCTTTATGTCCACTGCTCTAGCCTTAAATGGCAATCAGCTGAAAAATAGAGGTGTATCACCCTGCTTTCAACCCTCACCAGATAAACTGACATGTAGACGCCACAATGCCCTCACATGGCGGGCTCCATCACGTGGCAGACACCTTACCAGGGTCAGTCACGAGCCCGGAGTCAAATCCTACGAGGGCTCATTCTGGTCCTCTGTGGACCAGAGTGCCTTTCTGACCCTGGTTAGTGGAAACTTTCCAGAAGCAGAGCCTGTGAGACGGGGCCCAAGAGTGCTGGGAGGAGCAAGTGCCCTGGTGATGGGTGCTGAGGGCAGCAGGGGCCTTGTCTGAAGTCACCAGGGGCCTTATCTGAACTTGGAAGTTGGGGAGTCTGTAATTCCCTTCATATCTCCTTCTTCCAAATACTGCTTGCTTGAAAGTCAAAAAAAGGAAATAGGAGGGGGCACACTGTCCCAAGGCAGGCTCCTGACAGGAAGTGACCCGTTAAGGAGGCAGCACATCACTGCATTTGGCTGGTTTTCAGGGTCTTGTTCCCAATCAGTTTCCAGCCAATGCCGGGCTGTCCTAGTCCCCAGGGGTGTGGGGGGCACACTCCAGAATCTCTACTTTTCTTCTTTTTTTGCAGCTGAGTCATGAAGTTTTCAGCCCCAGCATGTGGCTCCTCCTTAACTGTGTCTGCCTCCCTCAGCCCTGTGAACAGCCTCCCCACACACAGACCACAGAGCAGGGCTCTCTCTGCTGCCACTTCACCTTCCTGAGAGAGGGCCAGCTGGCCAGAGCCTCAGTGACCGCCGCCCTGGAGGACAGGGCACAACAGCCATTTCTGGTAAGAAGAACCGGGTTTATACTCACAGAGACTTTGGGAATAGGAAGAATCACAGTTTGGTCACAGCCGTTCATTTCTGACGTGACCTTGCCAGGTCCCCTCGCTTCTGGGTTCCCCGGCCAGTAAAACGGGGCAGCAGCGGTGAGTGTTGCAGGATCTGCAGGTGCGCAGCTGGTGGAACACAGCCTGAAGAATCAGCACCTGCACTCACAGCCCAGGACCGGGGCAGCAGGCTTTGCTGGCCCATTGCTCATCACCTAGCTGAGTTGATCTCCATGAAACTCTCAGGGAGTAAGGCTGAAATGATCCTGTCATCCGTGGGACAGATGGGAAAACTGAAGCTTCCAGAGGGTGATAGGCTTTCCCCAGCTCCCCTAGCAAGCCGGGGCATTCTTCCCAATTTTACCCTCCTGATTTCTCCTGTCCCAGCCCAGGCAGACACACACCATGTCCCAGACAAGCCTGGGAGCTGAGGATGGATTCTTTAGGGCTCCCCAGGGCAAACATGGGATATTTTCCCATCCCAGGAGCCTCCTGTTCCAAACAAGACCCCTGAGTGGACCTTGTTCTGTGACTTTCAACTTCTGAAATGCTCCCCAAGATGCCCCACGTTTTTCCTATGACCCCCTGCAGGATGCACACTATAGGGAAACAGACTCATGTTCGGGGGACCTGTGAACAATCCCTTTTTCAGCCACATCTTATATGAGAGATGTGCCATGAAATCACAGCGACCAGACCACAAAACACATGATTCCAATACCTGGAAATATATGGGCTGGGACAGACAGGGCGAAGGAAATACTTATGAACAAGGAAGAAAAGTAGTGGTTTGATCTCTTCTAAAACAGCATGGAAGAGGCTACTTTCTCATGTTTTGCTAAAATAAGGTCTTCTCATGGTAAAATCAGGTTCATGCCATTTTCAAATCAGAATGTGCATTTTGTTCATTTGCTTCACCCTCCTCCCTGAGCCAGACCCTCCCAACAGAGGGTGCTATTGTCTTGCTTGCACACTGCCTTCCAATCTCTCATGACCTTTGGACTCATTTGTGGGAAGATTAGTAAAATTTTTCCTTTGGAGAAGAAACCTGCCTTCATTCTCAGTTCCCCCGATTTTGTCTGCCCTGTAGACCAACACGTATGACATTCCTCCAAGCCTATGACGTGTCCACCAGTCTTTTTCTAGGCTTTCTTCGGTTCTCTTATAATCTTCTCCATGATTCATCTTAACATTGCCATCAGTATCCTTTCTGACTCACCTGTGGACACTTGGTTATTTGTTAATATCTGCCAAGAAATATATTCCTCAATGTAGCCTGATCCACTGAGGTTGGATTGGGAGAACTATTGTTGTTGTTGGTTGGCTAACATAACAGAGTTTGATTGGCTTTTGTGACAGGCAGTCGTCTGTTTTAAAAGGAAAGACCTCAATTCAGAGAAACTCCTGCCACCTGCAATTTTATTTTTGAATAACCCTTTTTAAGAAATGCACTCAAGATTTTGCAATAAAATTCTATGTGTTGGTTTTAGGGTAGGCTTCTAGCTATCCAATTGATTTATCTTGATCAGGGAGTGGCAGCATTGTACACATGTCTCAAAAGGCCTGTTGACTTCTTCGGAATAGCGTCTTTTTCAGCCTGTGGAATCAAAGACAATACACAGACAAAAGGAGCCATTTCCTGATGTTGGCTCCATTGTAAATATGTGACCTTTGGCAGGTCATTTAATGCTCAGTTTCCTTGCATTTTAACAGAAATTTTAAGACCATCCTTGATCACATCACAGGGAATTTGGGAGAGCAATTAAAATAAGGAGGATGAGATAACTTTGAAAATTATAAATGTCTGCACAGAGGTTTATTACAGTGATGATGTTCATAATCAGCATCGTTACCGCTGCCATCTAGACCTTTACAATAGCATTATGTTGACTCGAAACCTCAGAAAACATCATCTACAGTAGAGAGGATGTCAGGGAACTGGTGCTATTTTGACAAAAGCCAAAAGCGTCATTTATCAGAGACAAGAACAATGTGTGGGAGAGAGGAGAACACTCTTCTCTGGGCTTAAGAAAAAGAAAGAGGGAGAGAGTGGGAAGAGGAAAGGAAGAGAAGGAAAAGAAGGGAAGGGCAGGGGCTGGAAGCTGTCTTAATACATTCTGATGATATAAAAATGGATTGCTTGACCTAAAGAAGGCCAAGAAAATCTACTAAATGCATAGAAAAATGTGGAAGAGATAGAAATCACAGAAGTTATTATGTATGGAAGTTAGTAAATAACCGAAATGGCAAACAAACCATGAAAACTCTTTTTAATTCAATGATAATCAGCAAAATGTAAGTTTAAGCCAATTAAGACATCCTTATTTATGCCCATACAGATGACAAGAAAAGTGTATTATTACCAAGTGACTGTGAAGATTCGGAGACCTCTTATAAATGGGTGGTGCAAATAGGAGTTAGCACGACTCCCTGGGAGTCATATTTGGCAATATCCAGTCAGGTGGCAAATGTGCATCCCTGATACTGTTGCACAAAGCTGGAAATTGTTACCCGGAGCAGGAAATGAGTTGTTCTTGAATTCTGACTGAAGTGGATTCTTTCTATTCAATCACCTCACTACCTCCGCTCCACCAACCATCAGGGTGGGAGGGCAGTCATGCCGGTCCCCCGCCACCACTTCCTCTCACGTCAGTTCTTCGTGTCCCTGATCCCCATTTCCACCCTCCCATGGGAAAGTACCTTGTAAAATTTCCTCTCCGCCACTGGAATGGCCATCTGACACAAAGAATTTCCGGGACTGGAAGTTTCCAGCACTTCAAATAAACCAATGTTATTTACAGCAAGGCATTTTTTTTCTCTACTCTGGCAAGTTTGCCTACTTTGATTTCAGTTTTTTTAAACGCCCCACTCTTTGTTCCATAGAAGAATGCTTCCGTCATTTCATGCCTTTCTAGTTGGGGGAGATGATCAACTGATTTGCTTCAAAATATTTCCTGATTTTCTGTAAGTTGATGGGAGGGAGGCAATAGTGCATTATTTTAGCAAAACCTAACATCACCTGGTTTGCTTAAAGTTATTACAGATGTTTCAAATAAAGTATGAGTTAGAAAATTACTGATGAAAATGGCTCATCTGAGGATAATTATTCTTAGATGCCTGAATTGGGTGCTCTCAGGCTCTACTAGCTCCCATATGGACATTTGCTTTTTATCTGTTTCCTGTTTTCATTCCAGGAGAGAATGGAAGGATTCCAGAAGGGCAAATATGGAACTATGGCTGAAGGTAAGAAAGTCTTGAAGTTCTTAAGAGCTCCAGAGACTTGGGAGAATCACAATTCTCTCCCCACCTAACCCCACCTAAAACACAGTGGCAGAAACCCATTCATTTTAAATGAAAAAGATAAAGGCAACTATCATTTTTTACCTCCCCAGCCTTCTTGTGCCTGACCACACCATCACACACACACACACACACACACACACCCCCATAGATGCTCTCCCTGCACCAGGTATGTGGGAAATGTGGAAAGGAAACCCCAGAGGTTGAAAGGTCTAGAAGCAAATGGTGAATATGTTTTCTCTTTCTTTGTTTTCTGACAGCTGAAAAAAGAAAAAGTTCCCCATAGGGATTTAGTAATTGTGCTTGCTACAAAACACCACAGAATAACTAAAGGAAAGGAAGAACTGACACAGAGTAGGAGGAATAAAATAACAGATTATTATTATTATTTTTTTTTTGGAGACGGAGTCTCGCTCTGTCGCCAGGCTGGAGTGCACTGGTGAGATCTTGGCTCACTGCCACCTCCGCCTCCCGGGTTCAGGTGATTCCACTCCCTCAACCTCCTGAGTAGTTGGAACTACAGGCGCGCGCCATCATGCTTGGCTAATTTTTTATTATTATTATTTTTTAGTAGAGACGGGATTTCATCATGTTGGCCAGGGTGGTCTCGAACTCCTGACCTCATGATCTACCTGCC